GGGGAGACACTGTGGTCCCTGGAAGGAAGCCATGGAGGAAACAAGATGTGTAATGGTTAGCCACAGCTCTCTCCCGGCATCCTGCCTTGGAGCCTTCTAGGTCTCATCCTGCGAGGTGTCAAGTCCCTTTGGCCACTGCTGGGGTTTTAGCAGCAACCAGAACACTCCCCACTAGGTTGCGTGGGACTCCAGAAACTGCTCAGCCCGGCAACCAGGAACAACCAAGGGCAGTGATTTTTGCCTGGCACCTGGCATGAGGCTGCAAAACAAACTTGCCTGTGATGTTCTATTTCAGGAGTTGGCACTAAAGCAGTTCTACCTCCTGGAAGATGCAAGCCACGGAGCCAGCACTGTCCCTGGGACACTGCAGCACATTGGGAGCTTACTGGAGTGGCAGGACAGCACCTGGTTAGTGGGTTTGGTCAGGCAGTGACGTCGCCTTAGTGAGCGTAGCGTCAATCTGTGGGACACAAGAGGCACACGAGAGACCCTCTCCACGTGGCAGGCTTTCTTGCTGTGCTGCAGAGCTGGCCGGGGCAGCTTTGCGGAGAGGCAGGAGGGACCTGCTGGCCATCGGCAGAGGGGTTCCCTGGCAGCTCCGGGCTGCCTGCTGCAGCGCACAATGAGGAACTAACTGTGAAAGGCTGAAGAGACCAGGCCAGGGGCTTTCTTAGATGCAGGGGTGGGGGGGTAACAACTATTTAACAAGATATTTTTCATTTTAAATTATATATTTATTTTAGATAAACTGTACATAGTATTTATATTTATTAGAGGTCTGGCCCTGCAACCTTCATGTAGAACAAGACAACAAGGTCAGACCTCCCTTATTTTTTAAGTGCAATGTAATATTCTAATAAATAACACTTTGTAACAAACACTTGGTTTGTTAATTTAATGAGGGGAGCTGAAAGGAGTTGGATCTCTGAAAGTTGTAACAACGTGCCTTCCTTAATGGAGTATCTCAAAAATATTGTGGTGCATCTGTTAAACTGTGGCATAAATCCGGAGTGAGCTGTGGAGTCTGCTGGACCCGCTTGTGCTGTCCTCCAAGGTGCAGTGGAATGGGGTTGGGTGCTCTTAGCTCCCACTGAAGCTGAACAGCATGGTACAAAGGGGCCGGTGGCCAGATCAGACCCACACCATGCCATGAGGCAGCTGCTTTGGTTCATCTGCAGCAAGGCCAGCCCCAGGTGCACCCCTTCATGGGGTTTCATATCTTAGCCAGCCATGCTGTCAGATGGGTGTGATGTCTGCATGTTTGCTGGCCAGTGGAATCCTACCCTGGTGTGAGTTTGGCCATTCTGACTGCTCTTTTCAGCCTGATAAATGTAAATAGGACTGATTCCTGGTTTTAAGCCAGTATTAGGCTAAAACTCAGAAGTGGACTCTCGCAGCTCCCCAGCATCCCTTCCCTCACAGAGGATCTTCGTTGTCCCTGGTGTGGCTAGAGGCCTTGGTTGCCGCGGGCTCCTAGTGGCCAGGGTCATTCCTGTGAGCATTGTTCCAGACTGTGGTTCAGGGCTGATCCTGACTAGGCAGTATAAATAACCCCCAGCTCGCTTGTGTTTCCTCTTCCTTGAGCTTCCCCTAGGGGAGCCAAGAATGGTGTGAGCTGATGGGTCTAGCAGAGAAAACTGGCTGCCTCCCTGCAGGAAACATGCTTTCCTCCAGCCTGTTTCACTCTGGTAGACATCAAACTGAGTTTTCAAAGCAGAGTGCTACCACGCTTTTGATTCATGTTCCTACAACTTGCCCTGAGGCAGGGGAAACTTAGTAGTCTGCAGAGGTTTTTGGACTAATTTGGCCAAAATTTAACTCTGGCAAAGCATAAAATAGGCTCTACAGTCATTGGTCCCCTGTGGGAGGGGGTACTTAGGAAGTGATCTTATTAGTTCATTCCTCTTAAACAGCCGGCAAGTTTTAATGTAGCAAAACCTGGGGCGTGGGAAGGGGGAATGAAGCAATCACTTGGCTCTCCCGTGCTTCCCAAGATAGAAGGGCTAAAGCATGTGGCTGCAGCAGAAAGGAAGCTGGTGGGTAATGAGGGATAACCTTTTATGTTATCACCTGGAGAGCAAAAGCCCCCCAGAGATGGGGAAACAAGTTTCTGGCTTTGCTTTGGGTGAACCCAGACTTTAACGCTGTGGGAAGGCTGGTTGAAATGGAGACTCCAAACTTTGGACCTCTTGAAAATTTATTAAGCAAATAACATCTCTGACTGCTGCACAGGAGGCTCTTTGCTCCGAGTCAGCCTGCCAGGTCCCTCCCTGCCTTCCTGCGCGGCCACTGTTCCGGGGCTGTTGGTTCTGCTGCGCTGGGGTCTCCCATGCCAGCCCCGAGGCCCTTTCTGCCTTTCCTTGTAGCCAGCTCTGTCCACCCTGGGGCTCTGTGTGCCCAGGCCAAGTCTTTCTGCAGACAGCTGGCATTTTTATGCTGATTTTTGCTCTGGCTGGGAAGCAGTGAGTGGGAGGCTTGGGAGTGAGGGCGAGAGCCTTTGCAAAGCCTGGCTAGGCTGACAGCAGAAATTGCTGACTTGAAGCAGGCAAGGATCCTGGTGCTGGGGTCACTGGCACAGGGTGCTCTGCATGGGGAGCCTGAGGGCAAGAGGGGGCACGTGACTCCCTTCCCCCCTACCCCCACATATGACCCAGCCTGTGATGGAGCAAAGGTGGCCACTGCTGAGGGGGAACTAAGCTTTGGGGCACCCCCCCCCCCAGACTATTATATCACACCAGACCCTGGCACTAGGTCTATCTGCTCTCTGGGGGGTGACATCGGCCAGTCAACTGCTCCTTTCCCCATGTAGGATCAGAGAGGGGGAAGATGCTCCCAGCACAGCTGGGGCCCCAGGCTAGCTGGGAAGGATGGCTCTCGGGGTGGGAGCTTTCTCAGCCTGAGCCACACAGTACGGCATGGGGCCCATCATGGGCACGGGGAAGGGTGCGGGCAGGCATCAGCTGGTGTCAGCCAGGGCCGAATCATGATTCCACATTGCCTGGAGCCCAGCTGCTATCTGTACTTCTCTTTTCATGCAAGGGTGTGGTTCTGGTCTGCTTTGCTCCTCTGTAGGCCTATGGTGCAGGTGGGCTGCTCAGGGGTGGTGAGTCAATGGGACAAGAGAGATGGGAGATGCGTTTTGAAGATGGGCCAAGTGAGAAGGTAGCTGGATCCATGAGACAGCTCCCTCTGCCCATCTGGGCTTGGAGAGGATGCAATCCTCTCTCTTCCCAGATAAGGCAGCAATGAAAGGAGGGTGCAATACTCACCCGAAGGGGCTTACAGGAATCAGGCGCAAGACAAAAGCAGCCTCTACTGCTCTGCCTTTAACCCTCCCTGGCCAGGCTGATTCCCCATCCGTGGTGATGCCCAACTACTGTGGGGGACACTGAGTAGTGGAAGGTGCTGGGATTGCACCAAATATGCAGAAATCCGGTGGCCTGGTGCTTATCTGGACCTCCTGTGCAACAGCCAGCCTGTTGTCCTTGGGACACCCACCCACAGCCTCCTGGATCAGGCCTCAGCCACAGGCACTGAGGGTGCCTAAGCCATGGAGACAGGCACCTGGGTGCTGGGCCCCTCCAGAGGCTGCATGGGTCTGTGTCCCACTGGCATTGGTCTCTCTGGGTGTGAGTCCCCCAGCTCCTCCAGCCCTGACCCTGCTGTCCACCCGAACAGGAGCCAGACGTGCTGGCAGCTGGCCAATGCAGCTATGCAGATCAAGGTCTTGGGGAATTGCAGACTCCGGCCTCCCACTGCCCCCAGCTCAGCAGCCTGGCCTTTTGCCTCCTCAGGCACAGAGCCAGGAACAAAAAAAAAAAAAAAAATCCCCCTTATATGTCACTGGCCACTGCATTTCCTGACTCTCAAGTTGTCAAGCCCACTGGCCTCGGCTGCTCACTCCAGCACTGATTCACTGCTGTGACCTCTGGCATCTCCCTTTGCCTCCCATTGACACGCGAACGTGGTTTGGCTGCAGGTAATGAACCTTGCACCCAGCCACCAAGCACCTTCACCTCGCTCTCCTCCACGGTGTCCCTGAATCCCCAGTGCTCGCTCTCTGAGGCTGGCTCTGTTTCACTGCTAGCAAAGGCCTCATGCTCTCAGAGGGGAGCCCTGCAGCCTGCAGCACACCTTCTCCTCCCCAAAGGACAGACCCTGCCCCAGACTGAGGCTCAAAGCTGAGAAACCTCAAAAATACCAACTTTAGATTTAATTTTTTTAAATGCAATACATTACATAAATCAATTTAACAACCAGTTCTCCCCCTGCCCCAACACCTGATCTCACCTACTTCTGTGGCTGCGTTTGGGCACTTTCAGCCATCATGGCTTGACAGGATTTGGATGAGGGGGGACATTGTGACTGGGACCAGGGAAGAGGCTGTGGAGCTGTAGGGGTACAGCTTGGAACACGCCGCTCCACAGGGAGTGAGGTGAAGCAGCCAAAGGAAACTCCCAAAATTCATTGCAACGTCCCCACTGCCTGTCTTTGGAAACAGACAGCAACAACCCTGCAAGCAACTCTGTTTGGCTGACGTTCCTCCTGACAGGTGTTTCTGGCTTTGCTCTGCTCCTCATCCAACCCCTGAGCCCTGAGCTGGAGATGGACTTTGCCAGTAAGCATGACGAGCTGTGCTGCAATGTGGTATCTCCTACGGGTTCATTGCTGCAGCAGAAAGGGAGACACAAATCCCCCCAAGCGCCCTTGGAGTGGGCACAGCTCAAGGACTTGCCCCATCATGCACCAGCTCTCACCATATTGCCTGCTTTCCAGTGAAATTTGGCTTGGGATCTGGGTGCAATGGGTTGTCTCGGGGCAAACCCGCTCACCAGATCTACTCTTTCTCGGAGCCGTAGAGATGCTCAGATCTGGCCCAGGCCCATCAGTTTGAGTCTGGAGGTGGAAAGCCAATATTTGCTCTTTTTGGTGAGATGCTGCTCTTACCTTATCTGGTGGGTGTGCACAGGGCTGTTCCTCACGCCGGCATGGCCCAGTTGCTGGCACAGATTACTGCTTCTGCCTTCACCTGGAAATTTTTCCAGCCTTGGCCTGGTCAGACTTCCCTCCCACGATGTTGTTTCACCTGACATATCTCCATGCCAGTGGTTGCACCTTGGCCCTTCTGGTTTATTCTCCAGCACCAAGGAACTGAGAGGTGCAGAAGGAGGCTGCTCAGGGGAGAGGCATGTGCAGTGGCTGGAGCTGCCTGCTCCAACTCTGAGCTTGGTGGGTAGCAGTGCAGTGCTGGGGGCCCAATGGTAGTTGCAACACCTTGAAACACCTCTATGCTCAGGAAGGCATAGAAAAAGGCAGACTGGCTCTTGGAGCAACGCTGAAGGGTTCCAGGTCTGCTCTCAGGCTTGCAAATCACCAGTGGCATATGTAAAGTTGGGAAGCTGGGCAGAAGTCTGCCTTGCGTGGTGGCTTGGAGCAAGCACCAGTGTATCACAGAGCACTTGCCTGTGCTGAGATGGGAGGGAAGAGCTCGCTTGGGTCACCACACTGCAGATCCCCTGGGCTGAGGCATCATTGTTCACTCCTGGGCATCCTCCAGCCTTTTGTGCTATAAATTGCCAATGACTCAGGCAGCAGGACGTTCAGGCTCCCCCGAGGAGGCCAGGCCACTGCCGTATAGAATTAGCTGCTACAACTCTTCCTGCTATTCAGTGAAAGGTTTTCCTTTTCTCTGCAGGAAGTGTTATGTGTTGGATACACCAGGATCCGTGGGGCAGAGTAGCAAGAGGAACTGGGTTACAACAGCCATCAGTGTCTCAATAGTTGGAGGTCTTAGATAGGGGGATTGAAGAGAAATATCTCTGCTACATCCAAGGCTTGGGGTTGAATCAATTCAGAGCACGTGTGGTCTTCAGAGCATGGAAAAGGGAAATGGCACGAGGCCTGGATTTGTTCTCATCTTGGGGCAGGTGCAGTGGGTTGCAACAGGAACTGCTTGTCCCTAAAGGCTGGATCTTGCATTCTGCTTTTAATTAATGGTGTCCAAAGAGGTTGCCTCCTGCCTGCCTCAGATTACAGAATGGTACACTGGGTATTTTAATTTTTGCTGCCTTCCCCTAAAAGACTTCTGATAGCCTCATCATGATCTCACCTCTTCTCCCAGCCCAGCTGGGCAAACTCCAAGGAAAACTCAGGCTGGAGGGAGTGATGGTGATTAATTAGTGGGCGCGCATGTGGGTGAGTCAGGCTGCATCAGTAAGGCAGCACAGTGCTGAGGGGGTCACCAGGCAGCTGAAACAGCTTTCTCTGCATGAAACACCATGCTGCCATGCTGACCACATGCAAGAAATGGATTCCCCTGAGGATCTCACCACGCCACCAGCATTAACTCAGTAACTCCACCAGGCAAGGACACAATGCTTCTCAACCTCCCCCTCAGCTTTTAATTGGATTCAAGATCGTCTGGCCCTCCCAGTCCCAGACTGCTGCCATGTGCCCTTACATGCCTCCTACTTTCACTGCTGAAGCAACTGCCTTTCTGCAGAGGGTGAAATGACCTGGCCTCCTTCCCTCCTGCAGCATCTCAACGCCTGTCTGGATGACAGGGCTGTGTCTGACTGCCAGGTATTATTAATAAAGCATCAGTCTGGCTCTGGTTTTAGCTACTGCTACTGCTTTTTGATCTGTCCCTTGTATCCCCCTGGCTTTGGGATCCTCTCCCAGAGTCTGGCTGGGGGTGCCTTTCCTGTTCAATGAGTAATGAGACAGGCAGCCCGCGTTCTCCACTGTGTCTGGTACAAAGCCTTCCCTTAGCAGGACCTCTTGCAGGCTTGGCAGGAGCAGGCAGGCTAGAGCCTGTCAGTAACAGATCACCTCCTTTCTCTGTGTTTCTGTAGAGAGAGATGGCCTCACACAACTATTATGCACCAAAAGGCAATGTTGTAGCTAATCATTTGACGAACTAGTTCACTTCCTTGGCATCGCATCTAAACTGCCAGCTCAGCAGAAGGCTCAGCCACAAGCTCCAGTTCTACCCTGAGACACACGAGACCCCCGGCTGTACATCACCCCCTTGTGTGACAGCGACTGTGCGCTGGCAGAGTTATCCTAGTTGTGTCAGGGTCTGCATCTGCCCTTGCATCTGGCAGCATCTACAGATGGGGTTTAAGCCACTGGTACGGCCCACCAGGACTTAGGAGTTACCCAATGCCAGAGCCACCTTGGAGTGGAGGTCACACAAGGCTGCTGTTAGGCTGCTGTTAGGCTCCTTAGCCCCGCCAGACCTCCCCTGCAGCCATGCAGAGCCAGCCTGGGTTGTTAGTAGACGTCTACTGGATGGTGGATGAGGCTGGCATGAGAACCACACAACCTAACTGTGTATCGCACGACATAGTGGGGCAGCGTGGGATAAACGTCCATCCAGCTATACCAAAGAGCTTCACCCCTGACCCAGAGGGCCTTCCCTGCCTGTAATCCTTGTGACTCATGCATTCAAGGCCTCTTGGCCAAGCTGCATGTTTGGGAATTGGAACAAGACCTTGCTTTGGAAATAGGGCGTTTATTGGCAGCCTGTAGCTGGGAAAGAGCTCCTTCCAGTGAGATAAAACAGCAATGAAGTTTATTGGAGAAAGGCAAATAAAGAGCCTCTTTAGCCAGTGGAACCCACTGATACATGAAACTTCCCCTCGATGTTGGCAAACCCTTTATAGATAAGGTATGGCCACCCATGTGAACACCTGCCCCCCAGGATATCTTGATTCCCATTTTTCTGTTCTGGACGTGACTCAGTTCCTTGCCAGCCCCATGATACTTTTAGCTTGGCTGCGTAGCACTGCATAAACAGTCAAACACATGGACAGGCTTCATGAGTCCTTGGGTCCAGCAGATGGGCATCTCAGTTCAATGACAGAGCCGGCATGCTGTCCCCATGAGGGGTACCTGCAAGGGCTTGACAGCCTCTTGAAACAGCTTCAAAGCCTCCCAGGAGACTGTAATCACACACCTGGTCCCCAGGAGAGGCTGAGTCCCTTCATAGGAAGGGCAGCTCCATCCCCTCTGGTTTTCTTTTCCTGCTCTTCCAATACATTTTCTGCTTCACAAAGGCCATATCTCTCTGCTCCA